AGCGCGCTGCTGCCGAAACTCATTGCACGCATGAGAGTGCTACAGCAGCAGCTGCAGCGAGCGGCTTTGGGTGAAAAGCACGAACGACAAATTGAATTCGCTGCATTGGTAATGACGAGAACTATGGCAACAAAAAATGAAGCGGCAATACCGGTGACGTTAATAAATGCACGAACGACGGCATTCACACTGCTGCTTCGAATATTGTTGATGCTGCAATATGCGTTGGAGCATAGTTACCATGGCAGGGACAAATTCCCGCTTCTGCGGGGTAATACGAAGCATCGTCCTGCGGAGGACCAACCGAGCGCAAAAATTACTGAAAATAAAATTGAAAATTTTTGCATGCAACGGACAGCAATGCAGCTAAAGACCGACAACATGCTGTTGCAGAAGGGCAATGAGATGGTGTTACTGCAACAGCCAACAACACTTCGTTTCAGCATTTGGTGCTACAAAGGCTTCAATATTATCGCTGTGGCAGCGGCAGCCAGCAACGACAAAACCAACACCTCCTCGGACAACAATGCGTTCCAGTTGCAGATGTGGCTTGGCGGGGCGCACGAAATTGTTGCCGGCAATAACAATAGCCATCGTGCAACAACTCCGATTTCAACCATACAACAGCAATTGCTACAAAGTGATTGCGTAAATTACAGGTCCCTGCGACTCGAGCTGCAATTTTTGTGTATATTTTGCTTCATAATAAGTTACATGTGGCTTAAAAATAGCCAGCATTTTGATCCACCAGGCAGTCGACGCCATAATACTACCACCAATGCAGACTTTGGTATAAGCGCCCCCGCCAACTTAATTGGCCCTAACTTCTCCTATCACTCCTTGAAACACCAACAACTGCATTGGCGATCAGGCTTGTGCTCCGCCACACAGTAGTACGAACACTCTTTATCGCTTTATAGCTTAGCTGTTTGTATTGTATGCAATTGTATTTTTATTGCTATAGTATTTAAATTATATTTAAAGGCATGTGTGAAATTAGATAGCTGTATGTAAGCAGGTGAATAGCTAACTATTAATATAAATTGCAATGTTTCCGACGGAAATATTCGAGCTCCTAACCCTTTGAAATCCAAGAGAGAAAGTTTCTCCAACTGTTATTCTATTCCAAAGAAGATTGTGTAAATATTTGGCTCAGGAGGCTTTGATTGTATGTGTTTTGAAATGCGTATACCATAATTACTTACTCATCATAGAAACGGAAGAAAAAAAATTGTTTACCTCATAATGGACTTACTAAGCCAAAATGCAAAAAAAATATCTATTATTCAAAACATAATTTAAAAAGATTACAAATATGGACAGGGTATGTTTTTAAGACAATTTCTTCAATGCCTATAAAATACACCCGGTGCTAATATTATAAACGCACCACATATTAGCAATTATTATTTTTTGCTTGTTAGTTTGGTTATAATAGAATATTTTGATCAAAAACTTCCTCTGCCTCTGAGACATCCAGAGCCGACCCGTTCCTGGCTAGCTCGTCGGCCTTCTCATTGCCTTCAATTCTGCTGTGCCGTAGCATCCAGATCACTGCAACGACATACCTATCAGATAAAGCCATAAAATTCTCACTGTATTATTTTTTTTTAATATTATGCTAGAAGTGATGCTTACAGAGCCAAGTGCCTTGGTCGCTGCCGGGCTATCGAGAAAACAGCAATGCTGTTCCATGCTAGCTTCGAGGCTACTTTGCATGCTGTTTTGATGGCACAGACCTCTGTCGAAAAACACTGGCCGAATTCGGTAGTCGAATAGACTCTTCGATTTGGAGGTAAGTTGAAAAAGTTCCCGCCCTATGCCACATAAGAGAGGAACCACAAACCCGACATCGTTTGCCTACGCGACAGCTTTGACTCCTTCTCTGTTGAGGCTTAGAAGAATGTTTTTTAGCAGAAAGTTCTTACTCCGCAGATTTCTGAGTTTCTGCTAATTTTTGGCCTCTGGGCTAACGCTATTGAGCGTAGCTGCATAAATGGAGAAGATATAACAAAAAAAATCAGAACTGAACAATCAGTTGTATGGGTGCTATATTTCCCGTTCCGACAAATGTTGAATACATTATAAAAGTACAGCCGCTTACTAAGTTTAAATCGGATATATTGAAAATTGAGGGACGATATTACATTCAAAAAGACATAGGAATCCACTCAGCTCGACATCCTGATTATACATTTTCATGGGTCTATCTCTTCTTCTACTGGTACTTACAAGCATCGGACCAAAGTTATTATATCATTTCTTGGGCATGAAAGGTGTAAATATATTAACAGACAGTCGCTCATCGCCATTCCTACGATTTTTTGTTTGTGCACCGAAAGACCGACGTTACTGAGTGCTAACCCACCTATCGTCCTAATACAAATAATTTCGTTGATACGTTAGCCAAACTGAAAGCCGTTTATTTTTTTCTCCTTTTTCCTTACTCTACGAGCTGCAATTATTTGACAAGTTAGTTTTCGTGGCATGTGCTAACCAGCAGATATGCATAAATAGTTGGTTTCTATGTGTTTATAATAATAGCGGCGCCTAGAGAAGCTTACGGCATAAACTATTTCAAAAGAGACTCAGGCCATGAGTTTATCATGCTGAGCAGGAAGAGGAATATTCTCTCGAGTAAAGATTCCAAAAAATTATAAAAATTCGCTTCTCGTTTTATAGTTGCCATGGCGATAGTAATAATTGCACTCATACAAACAGTACGTAATCGCCTGATTTATGAAACACCGAGCATTTATCCATGGTGTTAACCACAGCCTTCTCTGCATTACTGGTAATACAAAATTGAATGCTACACTTTTCCTAGGACATCTCCGTGGGAAAAATAATGCATTTTCGAAAGTGAAAACGGCTATTTTACTGATTAATTTTTCGATTACTATACATTAAATTTTCCCACTTAAAATGGTAAATGGGGTACGAAAAATTTAGGTACTTGGCGGGTTGGGTAAATAAGCGGGGAAGTACTTAAGAGAGGGATTCTCTTCAGATTACATTAAAAAATTCACGGTGCACAAAAATGTTGGTTACTTAAGCGGGTTAGGTACTTATGCGGGGGGTACTTAAGCGGGTTTCACTGTAATTCTGGGTAATTAGCTATTTCAGCATGACAAGTCATCTGTAAAAGAAACATACTGACTTTGCATTGCTTTAAGCCAAATGCATTTTAAAGTAGTTGAAATCAAATCCAGAGTCGGACAATCGACTAGCTGCTTACACACAATTCAAACTTAACATTTGAAAGCACATTTACATGTCTGGCTGTAGTTGAGAGTGCAAAGATGCTTGCTACAATTGTTAAAGTCAACAGTTCGTTCCAAGGAAGAACCTAGTTGTGGTGGGTGAAAAACTGGTTAAACATTGATATTTAAACTAGTTTCTTTCCGTCCTGGGTAATTACTCAGGATGTGATTTGATTAATCAGGATTATGATTAATTAAATAGTTTTTTACGGGCAACGTCTTCAATTTGTAAATTCGAGATAACAGTTATTTTTGTTCCCTGATATCAATACATTTTCTTAAAGGAGAATATTTTCAAGTAATTTGTTGTTAATTTTTGGCAACTATATAAAAACATTTTCTCTATAATTATTGCTTGGAAGGTTGTACCCGTTATATACCGAGTAAAACTTGCCACCACTTAGTTATTTGAAATTATACTTTTTCGACGGCTGAGAGGATCGACCTATCTCGGCAGCCAGTTCGAAAACACCCTATTTCATAAATTTTCTCAAGAACGTCCTACTACAGAATTTGTCCTACCCCAGAATTCGATTGAATAACTTCCTATTTCAACCAAATTAGCGTTATTCAACCAAATTCTGAAGTAGGGCGTTCTTAAGCCATTTTCCGAAGTAGGGCGTTTTCGAAACGGCCGTCGATTTAGAGTAGAGCAGGGCAGCCTCGGCAGAGCATTTTTGTAGTGTGCGTGCAATTGATGTCACTGTAGGCGTCCGAACAAATCCCTGCAGGAAATGTACCTAACTACAAGCTAACTTTAAGTTGATTAGGAAGGAGCTAAAAGTCACTATTATCTGTATATTTTCTTTGACGAAAGCTAACTATATTTCTATGGCGATGGCCGCGAATTAGTCAAGGGTGGGGTGACCCCTGCATTTGATGTAACTAACTTGTAACTAACTACTTTTGGACATAAAATATCAATAGGAAAAACAAAATATTTTTATATGTTTCTTTTTTTATTTATTTACTTTATTTCTTTTATTACATTTCATATTTGTTTACTTATTCGAACTCCGTCAGACATATCTTCAAAATGATGATGAAGTTCAGGTTTTTTAAATAGAAACGCGTTTAAAGAAAACAATCTCCTGCATTACTTTTCAACTGGTTTCAAGTTGGCTTTTTGTAGCTAACTACAAGTTATATATTTTATAGAAATCCCGCAAAAAGTTAACTACAACTGGGCTATTTTGTATCATATAATTTTTATATTTTTTTCTGCAGGCATCGTGCAGTTGAATTAAGCTTTCGCTGCCTTCTCAAGCAAAGCGTGTATGTTTACGCGAATACGACGCGCAGTCGCCCGCCGGGCAGACGCTACCCAGCTGTGATTTAGAGTCTGTTCAGTTTTGTTTAATAAGTAGTAAAAGTTAAATACGTTTGCATATTAAGCCTTAAAATTTCGTAGGAGTTAACTGAAATTAAAAGTCAGAATTCATGCAAAAAATTATTTTTGGTTGTTACTTAAAAAAAAAAAATCAAGCACTGCTTCCAAATTACTTGACCAGACCTCCTATCTGTGCTAGTTAATTTGAAAAATTAGTTGATATTACAGTGTTAAGTTGAAAAAACTTAAGCAAATATTTTATTTGAAAATTTTATAAATAATTAGAAAAACTGATAAAACCATATAATAAACTAGCATAATAAGAAAAATTAATTAAATGTCATTAAAACCAGATAAATAAATGTAGAATAAAGCAGAGAATGTAGCAATATATAATTTAGGTGTGTGACTGGTAACCATTGTTGTATATACATGCATAGAAAAAGCTAAAAGCTATCCGAACGACATTAGTGATACCATTAGATTATAAAACTATGAAATAAATATATTTAAATTTAAGCAAATAGAAAATTAACTGTGCTAATTTCATAACTGCAAACTAAAATCTGCTGGAAGTACTTACTTCAGTGAAACAAAACATGCACATATTAACACACCTAATTCGCTAGAACTATGTATGTTGATATGTGTTTAATTGTGCTGCTCTTAATTAATTTATGTTCATTTTATAGAATACATACATATAAACAAACGTAAAGAATGTATAAATGTATACACAAATTATGTTAAAAAAAGCGAAATAAAAAATATGTAAATACTTAGGCAATTAAAACGCTAATGAAAATGTTTTTCTTTTTGTAGCTTCTTTTTTTTTTTTAAAGCTGTAAAGAAAATTAAATCAATACATAAATAGTTCATATGTATGTATGAAATGACTAGAGACTAGATAAGAAAAAAATATTTGTGAATAATTATTATTAATGCCTACCAATATTGTAAGTATGGGAAAAGTATGAAAAACAGCTTAGTCGTATATGATATGTATTATATATGAGCGTCAATGTATTTTATGTACATACTTCATACTTACATTCATAGATATGTAAATGCATATAAAATGAGAATAATGCAATTAAAAATGCTGATTACTGTTTGACTTTAGTGCTGACCTGAGTGCGTTTATTGAACTTGACAAAGAAAGAAATAAAGTAACATAAAATGATATAAATATTTACAATTAAGCATTCGTAAAAAAATTATTATAAAAATTATATAAATAAATAATATTTGTCTCAAATGCATATGAAAGTGATTTTCATTTTATCTAAAAGCATCCAAAAGTAGTGAGTATGAACATTTTTTTAACTTCTGATTTAAAACTTGCCTCAGAAAATTTACGAGTCCAAATGGCTGCTGTGAATAAAAAAAATGTATATCACGGCATGAATGTAAATACAAAACCATTATTGCCAGATTCAAATTACACACTCTAATGTTTCGGAGTCATCTGTGGTACTATTCTCTAACTATTTTACCGACCGACAATCCTTGTCGCAACTTACGACAGCCACCGTTTGCGCTTTCAACGAGTTTATTCGGCAACTGTGTCGTAGCGATAGTATTCGCTTACATTTTCCTACGACGAATTCCGGAATAAATTCAGAAAAATACGGCAATGTTTGTAAATTCTCAAACACGAACAGAAGAATCTACGACGAAGCCCTAAGCATTCAACACTGTCCCGTCCTGCAATGGTGTGCTGCACAGATCATTATATAGCCCTCTGGGCCTGGTGCGGTCCTAGGATCGAGAAAGTTTCGTAATAAATGAAAAAAATAGAGAGCAATTTCTTTGATTTTTTATAGGACCTTTTCACCGAGCAATTGAACAAAGATTAAAATTTAGTTAAATTTTAATAATGTTATCATTTCCACTCCTTGTATTTGTAGGGCGATCTTTAAGTTCGTTTTTTTCTATTATTTTTTATTTCCTAATGGTGCGAGCCTCTGCTTCCTTCATGGATACAGTGACCATCCGTCCTGTATTGTACGGGACAGTCCTCTTTTTTCGTCAGTTGTTGCGGTACGTTTTTTATTTTATAAGCGACGACAATTGTTCTATATTCCTTTTTGTGCCCCTTATTTGTCCCGTAATCGGTGTTCGGTAGTGTTGCCACTTTGTGAGTGATTCCTCAAAACGTGTGAAATTTCGGGTGCGCTTGAGTATGTTTTGAGTATTTTCATTTTCAGGAATTTTCTCTCGATATACATATTTGCAGATAACAAATGCAACCATGTTTTACACAAAAGAGTTGTTAAATCGCTCTGCAAATTTGTTAACAAAAAGCTTTCCAAACTTTTATAAAGGGCGAAATACACTACACCAGCGGCTTGTCAAACATTCTTCCCATTTCGCCATACACCATGCAAACATGACTCGTTCAAGCAAAGAATTTTAGTTTTCTTCCAGTTCACAATGTAAAAGGGTTGGGTTTTCCTCGATTTTTCTCTCTTGCGTCCTCATTCGGTAAAAATTCCATTGCGAATGAAGCGATTTTATCATACACAACGTAAGCGGTTTGATCAAACGTCAACATGGCGGCCAGAAAATCAATACAACTTTTATTTTTGTCATGGTACAATAATTACAGGCAAGGTTCATAGAATACAAGGTTACGACATCAGCCATGGCCGCCATCTTAATGACGTAGATGGCTCAATTTTTGCAGTTGCCAGATTCCTAAAAAATTATCTTGTAAAAATACACTATTTTAGTCAAAAATACATCACGTTTTATTTCAAATATGTTGATGTTGCTGATATTTACCGTTTGACAATTTGCGTTGAAGTTTGTGCATTTTTCTGCGTCTTTGAGTTTATTTAAATTATTACAAATTTAAGTGCGCTGTTTTTGATTGCAGAAATTACGCTGAAAAAGGTAATTTTAGGTTTTACCGTATGTCTAAAGATGAATTGCAATTTCGGTAGCAAAATTTTGCCAATGTTATGAACGCTTTTTATTTAAAAATGCGCGAGTGCGTTCTGCTCACTTTCAAGAATAAAATCACCAGCAATAAGCATTCGATTTCCATTTCATTTGTCACTATTGTATGAATATTATTATGTTAATCCAGTTTCACGTGAAGTTATAACATTTTATGTTATTATAATAAGCTTTGTCAGGATTTTTTATCAAAAATGCACATTTGATAAGGCTATACGGCAACTATATTTTCTGTGTTTTGTGTACTCTCCTTCTTCGTAAAATATTTCAGCCAACCAGAACTCACTTCGCAACCACGTCATTGGAGGAAAAAAAAAATTTTGACAGCACCATGTCGTAACCTTCTATTCTATGAACCATGATACAATAATTTTTAGAAGGTAGTTTCACTTCAAAATT